CCGGCTTTACCTAATCCCCTATTGATTTGTCAATTTTTTTGAAACGTCTACACACATTTCATCATCGATTCGAGCCAGTCCGGATCTTCGGAGCTTAGAAACAATGGCAATCATTATTCGTCCTGAGGTAGGTCAGGTAGAGAAATGACTAACCCAAGGTCAAATCGGTCGTATATACCAGTTTAATGTTTAATGCCATGCCAAATTCGCTGTAATAACTATTTTGTGTAGAAAAAAATGCTTCGTTATTTTTTTGTACTTCAAAGTAATGAGCGGAGATTGGATTCCGACATGGCTGTCACGTTTCGCTCACCAGGAGACACGCAAATTTTTTGTTGCTATTATAAAAGTAAATCTTTAGGATATAACAGTCACGAGTGGATTAAAAATTACAAAGTTGCCTAAAATATTCACTCTACATAAATACAAAATGCCTTGGTTTGTAGCTGGAGAAAAATATATTTTTTAAGCAATTTATTAATCTTGAATGATCGATCTATTATTCTTCACATTCTTTGTATTTCTTTTACTTTTCTACTTTGATAAACATACGCCCCATTGTAACACTGGTTTTTCTTTTTGGGCCACCTTTTTCTTGGGTTAAATTCTACCTATCCTTTTATTTCGAGTGATACTGCCCCTATTTTCACGCGTGTATAAAAAGGGTGTACATATGTGGGAAATTATGAGTATAATTTCAGTGTATGTGGACTGTATTATATAGGGCTGGTTCATATATATACAGCGAATGGCTAAAATTACTCTCAAATGACAATATAAAAGAACTCATTTTACTTTTCAATCAAATATATGATACCAGTGAAATTCCATCGGACTGGTTAAAATCGATCTTTATTCCTCTACCTAAGAAACCAAACGTTAAGAAATGTAGCGATTGTAGACTCATCAGTTTAATGAGCCATGCCGTTAAAATACTGTTGCATATTCTTCTAAACCGAATTAACAACAAGTGCGAATAAATAATTAGTCAAGAGCAGTTCGGGTTCCGGAGATGCCTTGGAACTAGAGAAGCACTATTTTCTAGGCAAACACTCCTTCAACGATGTGTGTAATTTTGTAGTAAACAACAAAATTCATATTCTGAAAGAAATAAATATCACATTCCCTGTAAGAGGACATTCCTATTTGAAGTGTGACAAAAATGTAGGATTGCGGAATTTGAAGGCTCCTTTGAGGCCCCGAAAGAATTTGAAGAAGTTATTAGGCATTCCCATTCCAAACCATCGCCATTAGTAAATGTGTCACAAAACAGGGTACTGGATTGAAAATTATTTTTAGACACAATATATTTACAAAAATTCCCATTTAAAACTCAGAGTTTAAAGGAAATAGTGACATTAACTGATCATAGCTGCCTTATCTACTACCTTTTAACATACAATGGACCAGTACTATCTGGATTAATACGAAACCCAAAATTCAGCAAGATGTGGAGAATGTTTGCTGCATGTTCCGGTATACGATAGTAAATTATAAGAAACTTTTAAATAAAAATGAGATTTAGTCATTTTTTTTTTAATTTTTGCTACAGGTCCTTTACCAATTCCAAAGGCTAAGTTTAACGACCGAATGAGTATTATGCGGGTTTGCAGTCCAAAAGCAGTGACATTCTTCGAGAACCTAGCTCATCTCTAACACTAAGTTTAAATAATTTTATATATACAAAAAACTGTAGTTATAATACTTTATAATAAAGTTAACCTCTGTTTTATGTAAACTACTATTTATAATCCCTTTTTGAAATAAAAATGGTTGATTTTGAACATTAAAATTCAATTTACTCAGTTGTGAAAAGAAATTACATATCTGGTTTTTTCCATGTGCTCTTCAAATATAGCTTGAGTCTGGCTGGTCTGTTGATAGCTGTTGGTCTTTTTGATATTATATTCCACCATCAATGTGCAGTGGATAGCAACAAAATTCATGATTATTATTTCACCTTCACTGTATCGAACAAACAAACGAGTGAGGTACTGGTAAATCAAATTGTTTTTATGCAGCGGAAAGTGGTAAAAAATATCAGCCTGTTAAAGATTTTAAACAAATCCAGGAGCGTTTTGCCTTGACAATGGGAGTAAGTTAAAGATATAAAACTGATCTCTCGTGAAATGAAAAATATAGGTGAAGGTGCTTCTACATCATTTTCGACGCCTAACCACAAAAGAATGAAATCTGAACCAAAATCCTCATTTGGCGATTTCGAAAGAGGTTTACTTCGCCTTATAATAATAATTTCATTAATAATCACGGAAAACATTTTTATTCTGTTGTTATTGGTTCTATTTCTACTCATACAAGAAGTGATTAAAGAAACTGAACCTGAAAGTAATCTTAAAGCAGAAGAAAATAACAAAGATACGATAATTTTTAACCATTTCATGAGACGTATCATAAATTTGTAATTATTTAAGTTTAATCAGTTTTAAGATATATTGCAAATTCAAACGAAATGTGTAACCTAACGTACCCATATTCAGAAACTTTTTTTGTTCAGCCATATGCAGATTTCTATTCTCCACTTAATCATATGCTGTCGTTCTTTTGTTTTCGCTCTAATTATACAAAGCCTGTATTTACCGTGTAACTTCCCATCCGCATTTCAGTCTGTGAAACGGCGGAAGAACCTAATCAATTTAATACAATTATCTAACAAGATAATAAGAGACTAAGGGTTTGAAACGTTTGAAGATTTTTTAATATTCTTAGTTGAAGATACGAATGATTAATATTTAAGACTGACATCGATAAAAATTACACAACGTTCATAAAAAATACATAGCTGATTAATAACTTGGTTTGAAAGCTATAAAACACAGGATGTTACTGTATTTTATAGTTTTCTAAACACGTTTCTGTATTTTGCAGCTTCTAGAATAATAAAATCATTTAAGGGTAATAAACAACATCGCTGTTGTAGATAAATTTGTGTATCTGGACTCTTTAACAAACAAGGGTGGTTGTACTGAAGAAATAAATGACCGCCAGTTAGCAATTACTGCAAAAGCTCTGTAAAACAAAAATTTGGAAAAGCCATGAACAACTATGGACACCAAAAAGAGACTGGTAAGTCTAGTTTTTCCTGTTTTTACTAATGCATCGAAATACTGGACCATTATCGAGAAAAACAAAAATAAAAGACAAAAATAGACAGAAAGTTCAAAAAGAAAAAGACAAAAAGTACAAAAATGATGGTGATTTATGGGTGATATGGGTAAATTGTTGATGTATTAGTGGAATATAAATATTCCTAGTATCGCTATAAATGGCTTGATTAAGCTTATGTTTTCAGTTTACTTTAATCGCTATCGACACTCACTTCATCTTTTAGTGCCCTGTCTGATTATCCAACATTGGCGATCATATTGACAATAATAACTTTGTGTACGGCAACTCGAACCAGATTAGCGGATGTCTCTTGGTACCACTCCCAGAGATTTTGGAGCCGGGATGTTCTCCGGCCTGGGCCTCTTCTTCCAGCGATCTTGTCATGTATTATGAGGTGGATAAGGTAATACCTCACTGGATGTCTCATTACATGGCCGACGTATTGTAACTTTCGAATTTTTATTGTTTTTCTTATTTCTGTGCTCTTTTTCCTCGTTAGAAGCCACTATTGGCATATTTTGGTATATTATTTTACTATAATTATTATAAAATTAAATAAAAAAAATTAAATTTTAAACTTCAAGAATATTAATAGACCCGCAGTATGCTAATTAAATATTGTTTGGTCTATCAGTTGGTCTTTTATTTTAGTTTATTATAAAGAAATTGGTCCACAAGAAGTTATTGCAGACACTACACAGAACTTTGTAGGATATTTGTGACAATCAAAAACATTTTTGGTGGAGCCATGATTCTATTGTCAGATTGTTCCTTATTTAATAATTATTTCTCAATTAATTGCTGCGAACGAACTAACCGCATGCTCAACATCATTCAGAGACACCTGATAAAGTCGCTATTGACACCTGGACCGGATTTATTCCATTACTCAAACATTTCTATTATTAAACTTACTCGAAAGAGGAGCTTATTGAACTTTGACATATTTCTAAGGCAGTATGAAGTTCGCCGGAGTAGCTAGTATATTATTATAGATACGACAATAACAAAAAAAATTACAAATGCATTTGAGATGTGTTGCTGGACGCAAATGCTTAGATTACCATGGACAGTCCGAAGGACAAAAACATAAAGAACAGAAATGGACACACCTGAGGAAGACTTACATCCGACGATGGATGGAATTGCTGTTGATGGTGATAATTGGCGATCACTGCCAGAATATGCTAGAATGGTCGAAGATAGAGAGAAATGGAATAGCAATAAGAATACTTAAAGAACGGATTCATTTATTTCAATTTATATGGGTTGGATTACCAGATTTGGAAATGTATGATTGCAAAGCTTTTATGGAGGAAACTTAGAAGACAACAGAAAATAATATGTAAATGAACAAGCAAGGGTTTAAGTCACTTTACATGACAATATTTTGATATAGAGAAATTCAAAAATGTGTAAATAAACATGTCGTTCTCTTCGAATTATTTTCCAAAGAAATTATAGCCTGCTCTATTTTTCTTCGATTATCTTATCGAACTTCCAGATTTTCCCCTCCTATGACATGTCTTATACTTTTTTGCCAATTTTCAGACGAAATAAGTCATTTAGTAGTTGACCAATAGCTTCAAGGTTAAATGTGGTATGGTGTCTTGAGACATATCCCTTTATGTAAGCTCATCTTTTGCTACTTCATCGAACCCGCATCATTCGACACCAAAGGCGAACACACTCACGTTTAAGCTACCTAGGCCTCGTCATGACAATAGTCAATAATCTATATAGACTTGTAGATACGCGTACTGTCTTGCTTGGAAAAAAAATTGAGTTTATCAGAAGCAAGTGGCATTAATGGTGGTCTGATCTTTATATAACTATTTTAAGAGAAATATTTTAATATTTATAAATTAACTTACCCATCGACGGTACCATGTTTCGATACCAATTCCGCAGCCTTATCTCTAGACAAACCACTGTGGAACCAGGGCTGGGTCATGTGGATGCCGGCATCTATAGATTGCACGTACGCCGTTTGTGTTTGACTGAGACCAGTGGGACCTGTTGACCCACGAGTGTACCCTCTCCAACGGCGTTTCCACGAGTATCCTTCGGCTACTGCGATGGCCGTCGCTTCTTGGGGATCTTCCACTATCCTACCCACGGCGCCTGTGAAGTCCATGGCGACGCGAGAGCGGACTGATTCCTGAAACAAAGAATTTGGTTATATTAATACGTTGTCAATAAAACAAAAAGAGAGATGAAGATTATTTCGATGTTATACTCAGACTTTCTTTACACTGCTGCATTTGTATTAACAACTAAACAAACAACTTGACATCATCAAAATAATCGTTTACTGTTAAAATATTCCATTATTTTACTGTTTCCATTCTAATATCATTGTAATTAAAGAATTAATTCTCTATATTTATTGTGCAGTATGGTATTGCTCCTGAATAAAATCAAAAACATCATAACCAACAGACGTTCTAGAACAGAAGCGGCACCAGGTCCGATCACAGTTAACTGACAAAATGAATCCCCAAGCAGTCTAGTTTACTGGTAAGGATCGATTCCATCGTAAACCGATAATCTTAACGAAAATAAGGGCTTGTGCCTAAAGTAACATTATTTTGAGCCTTTCTTCTATCGGAAAACCGAGAGATATTGCCACCGACTTTGACGGTAGAAAGGATAGAAATGCGTCAACCAAATGTCCAACCCTGCATTTCCTCCATCAGTAGGATAAAACTAAGCTGTCTTACGACGGTCTAATAGCGGCTCCACACTATTAGTAAACCGTCAAGATACAAATTTTCTACAATTTGTCTCTTGTTATGTTTAGCAAAGTTTCGTCACTATCACTGCCAAAATGTTGCCCAAAAGTTTGAAAATAAAATAAATGCACTTTTCTTCAAATTCTTTGTTTTACAATATAGTCTATTTGCTGGGGTGTTCTTCCTCTTGAAGTTTTCGGTTCTTCGGCCATAGTTCCTGGTTTTCGTTGTTTCAAAAATCTATAAATTACTTGTCCAACTCGTCATGGTTAAGCACTTAGAAATGATGCTCTTAATAGTACCATGTTCGGATGCTGGGGTGTTCATGTACAAGAACATGATATACATATGTACTACAGCCTTAAAATGCAATGTCAAAGACACTTTAATTTTATAGAAGTAAAATTAGAAATTTTCATTACACGAGTTTTTCTGCACGTTAGGTTCAAAGGTTTAAAAAGAGCTAAATGTAAATATTAGCTGGACGCATAGAATTATATCCTAAATACCCTTCAGGTAGGTCCAAAAGGACCAAGGTCGCAAAACGAAGCATTAAGGTCACGTATTGACAGACTTGGGCTCAATGGGCAGACCATTCGAGCACCCAGTCGGCGCAGAGAACAAAATTAATGTTCTCGATGACTAAGTGACCGAACACACACAGTCCGGACAGCAAGACAGACCCTGGTCGGTGGTTGACCCAGCTTGCTGTCTGGAACACACATAGGAGACACAAAGTCAATCAGTTTTAGTCCTTTACAGGAGAAAATGTGGCATAACCACATAAAGTAAGGTAAGATGTTCCATTATACAGGACATCTATAGTAAAAATAAATACAGCCTCCCCTTTCGTTATGTGTTGCGAATGTAAGGGGTGGAAGGATAGCCAGATAGGTACCACTCCAACGGAGTGTGTCTGGCTTGCTCTTCAGAAATGTGGATCCCACTATTTCACTGAAACACACATGTTTCTGTAGGAGTTGGGTTGTACCTTTGTACGTTTGTATTGTTGTACGTTTGTGTGCCTGTGTGTAACTTATCTGGAATAATTGACAATGAGAAATTTGATGTCGATTGGAGATTTTTATCCCTCCTAAGAAACTTAGATGTTTCTTAATGATAACATTTTATATCTGGAGAGATAATATAGATACCTACACTATTTATTTGTTAAAATTACTGCTACATTTGAGACGAGAAAACTTATAATAATTGTGAAATTCTTTGGAGATTATCAGGTTAGGTTATGTTAGGTCAGGTGTCATAAAAGCAGTACTATCAAAAATGTGCTTTTAAATTAAATCTGCCTTAAAAAAAGCATCGTACGTTTAACTTCGTCATTTATTTGAATTAAACTTTTAATGTTCATTAAACAATGTTAACTATCTATAGAGATTAACGAACCTTTTAAAATAAATTTGGAGGAAATATTTGCATGTCATTGTATTAATAGAAATCTTTATCAATTTTTATCAGCCTGTACAAAGTTTGTTAACAGTTTTTGAATTGAATCATTAATGACTAACAATATAATCATGTAAGACTATTTTAGAAATGATAATTCTATCCAGATATGCTAAATATTCCGTAAAATTTTAATGTTTACAACTTTAGTTATATATACATACATGTATATACAGGTCAGCTATATAACATACAGTATGTCAATGTTAAAACTTACAATGGGCTATATCTCAAGAAACAAAAGTTGACATCGAAAAATGCTTGAAACAGTTTCTAGAATAGTAAGGGGGAACTAAAATGACATAAAATAGAACTCACCCCATCAAACCCCTAGGCCCCACCGGGTGAAGCAATAATTGTGAAACTTTGGCTTAAATGGAAAATGTATTGAGGTTTTTGTTGAACTACAAATTTGTTAAAAATGTCAATTAAGTAAATGTTTAAAATGGGTTCCGTTGTTTTGTAAACAATAATTCAGCCTATTTTCAAATTTTGCACGAACTTTGGCAAATATTGTTAATAGCGCGACATGCTTGCGTAATTCTTTCTCGCAATTCCCCAAGTGATGCAGGTTGAGTTTTATAAACAACTGACTTTTTTAAGCTGTAAATTTGTATTTGTATCAGTAAGTAACATTTAACATCTAAACTCTCGCGTGGTAAAACTCACTAGGTGCTACGTCCAATAATAAAGCAGTATAGATTGGTAAAAACCATTCAGTATACTTAATGAGAGTTTAAGATTAGGTTTTAGTCTCTGTGGTTGTGTACAGTTGTTATTAAAATTGTTAAAAGTATAATAATATAGTGTAAATATATGCTGTCTTGTAAGTTTATGACTACGCTTATTTTAATTTTAATAAATCCCTAAATAATAGCCCAAATGATAAAAACTTATGCAGACTTTTTGATTCATCCAAACCTTCTACAAGTTCTGAGGTATGTAATTTCAAGTGAAATAGTTTAAAATTACTTTAAAATAAATAAATTTTTATTTCAGAGATTTCCAAATCGTATTACACGAATGTTTGCCAGTTCCAGAACTGGCAGAACTTCCGAATTTTTATCGTTTTTGTTATTTCTGTGCTCTTTTTCATTCGATGTAAAACTATTTCATTTCTTATTCGATCAACCCAACTTTTCCGCAATACTCGTCGATAAATCCACATCTCAAAGGCTTCTAATTTTTTCATTAATGTCTCTGTAAGGGTCCAGCTCTCCATACCATACAGCATGGAGAGCTGAATGAATTACCTTTCAATTTGAATGGTGAGATTTATTTACATTTTTTATAAAATGATTTTATTGATTTATTGGAAGAATTGTCATCAAACTTAAGGCGAAATATGTGGTTTCTACAAGATGGTAGACCATTACATTACAGAGAAAGCGGACTGAGACAGTATTCAAATACAACTTTCCTGAACGTTGGATTGTTCGTGGTCTTGTGGTGAGATAATAATATAATTAATTAATTCATAAAAATTTTAAAAATTACTTATTATTATACTTAAGACAACTATAATAAATACTGCAGCAGTTTCTTTAGAACCAATGATGCTATTTAATATGAAACGATATTTTATGGAATGTATTGACAAGTCAATTAAAGAAAATGGTGGACATATTGAACACTTACTTTGACAAAAAGTTTAATGTTATTTAGTTTAACTATTTCTTTACTTGCTTTGTAGATAAAATGTTTTGATTACGACTTTAAATTAATTTAATTTAATACAAAACGTAAAATGTTTGATGTAAAATCCAATTATTCTGTTATTTTATCAAATCATATTTATTTAATATTTCGTTAACTATTGACTTTATTAATGGTATTTTATAACAAAATTCGGAAGTATTGATGTTTTTATCTATTTTTCTTTCATTGCCTGGAGAAATTGCGTTAAATCAAAATTATGCAGTTGATTTGTAAAATGTGATTTTCCCAAAAACTGTTGAGTTTTAAAGTTATTAACAAGTATACCTTTTTTTTGTTAAAATAATGTATCTTTAATATTTTTTATCAAAAATACCGGTAACTTGAAGAACAAAAATGTTAAGTGTAAATGTATGCCACGTATGTGGCAGATGTGGCGCCCTCTATTAGCTATATCAAAATATGCATCAAATTATAATTCCTGATATTCAATAGTACCCAGCTGTAAATTTTTACACATAAATGTTTACAAACATGAAAGTTATAGCGAAAAATAAAATTTTAAATTTCCACTTAAACACCCTGTATCTTTTTTAATATCAACATTTTATTAAAGCAAGTTGGCTTAAATCGTAAAATTTTAAAGTATACAATCTGCGGTTTCTTTTTGTACAATTACTTAAGGACCACCCTGTATGTCTAAAGTGGACTAGATAAAAAATGATAGAAGGATAAGATGGATAATACATAATATGTATAACAGAATTAAGAATAGTAAGAGGCATAACTAATAGCAAGACATCGCGAAATGGTTAAAAAACAGAATAAAGTTATAAATGGATTAATAATCATTAAACACTTGAAATATAATTTTCCAAAATATTACAAAATCTTTGGAGACTTTTACAGTGATACGTTTGACCGCTTAAAAAAATGTAGACAAATAAATCTAATTTTATACTATTTTCAAATCTAATTTCATGAACAAAAAAAATTAAATAATGATGAAATAAATTCAAATATTACCTGTCTTTTAACAGAAGAATAATCACTAGAGTCTCTATAATTTCTCCTCCGCGAGTCACATCGCCGAAACGATTCGTCTACGCTTTTGCACATTATCTTTAAATGAACCATTACAGTTTCCTTAATTGGACGTAGTTAAGCAGAAAACGTCCAACCCACAAATTGTTAAAAATGAGTTCTTTACACCAGCGAGCATATAATTTCTTGCTTTATAATATGCAGAAACCGTCCAAGTGAAAACATTACATACTCTTTTAATAATCGTCAAAGTTCTAACCCACAAACTAGGTTAACTGAGATTTTCATTGATAATAAAAAATCCAAGTGGGTTGAATTTTTTCTAAAAAATGTATGTCGATCTAAGTAATCGTGTTAAAAGAGTGGTTAAAACAGGCTAAGTGGGTTGGATCACTTTAACGCTCCATGCGATAACAAAACTACTGTGCATTTTTTTGTGTTAAAAACATCCAAGTGAATTGGATGTTTTCTACTTATAAATTTCGGTATACTTGTTAAAAATAAGAGTATAATCAGAAATCGTCCAAACCACTTGGTATCATTTTACGTTTACTATTTCATTAATATGTTAAAAGTAGTTTGAATCTTCGATTTCGGTCGATAATAAAATTTTATTACGGGAATGTGCCCTATTAATG